AGGGGGGGGGGGGGGGGTCATGGTAGTTAGAACTGCATGAATTGTACAATTCATATCCTGATTAAAATATATTTGTTTTTTCTAAAACATTTTTTAGGTGCTATCGAGCTGAATTTGAATAAGTAGTTTTTTCCTCATTATTTCCAAAAGTATATCTCACTATATTAGCTATGTTGTGAGCTATTTGAATTTAAAAAGCCAATATATATATATATATTTAATGTTTTTATATGTTAAAATATTTGTGTTTACAATTATTGATCATGAATCTCTTACGATTCACAATACAGTCCAATTCACAATTCAGAAAATAGATCTTATTCTGATTTGACAATTGTTTTTTATTCTGTTGTTGGTAATTGTTATTTATTTTTCCATCCTAGAAACTACATTTTATGTTGAGGAAATTTTGGGATTTTGTTGGGATCTCAGAATATTAATCATGCTTAAGTTTTCAAAATGTTTAATTCATGATTTGGAAAATAAATCTTTTGATTAACAATATGAATTCTGATTTGACAACCTTGGTGGGGTTCGTGGGGATAAGTCTCTGTTGTTGGTAATTGTTATTCATTTCCCATCAAAGAAACTCTAATTTATGTTGAGGAAATTTGGGAGTTGGGATCTTAGAATGTTAATTGTGATGATGTTGATAAGTTAACTCTCCTATGAAAGAAAACATGAAAGGAAATATTAAATATTAAATTCATGATCCAAACTGTATTGGATTAATTCTATCTCTATTATTATTTAATACAGGCTTATCCCTGTACTTTTTTGTCTGTATTCCTTATTTATTTATTTATTTATTTATTTTAACTACATTTAACATTTTTCAAATTGAGTCCTTGTCTCGATGTACAAAAAAGTAAAACTCCGGACAATTTTAACTGAGTTTGTAGGGCATGCCTTGGAAGGATTATCCATTTATACTTGTTTATCTGATAGTGTTGATTCATTTTGGACAATATTTACTACTATGTGCTGGAGGGAATGATTGAGTTGTTACCATGTGACCTGGAACAAGTTCAATCTATGAAATCAGTCTCTTGGTGACTTAGTAGCACTACCCTTCCCTCAAATACATGCTTAACAGGAGCTTATAGCACTAAAGCATTCTTATTTGGTTTTTGGGGGGGCAGTGATTGGATGCCAGATTTCAGTAAATATTTGTGATTGTGTTTGGATACTGTAATGCAGATGCTCACCGTTATCTTTTTTGTTATGCCACATTTGGAATTGAATTATGTGCAAACTTTGTGCCACCTTTGGAATCAAATTCTTTTTGGATCTAGGCTATAACTTTGTATTTCAAGAAGTATGACATGCATATGTATGTAGTGCTTGCATTTGTGACTATTATACTGCATTTTTGTTTGTTGAAAGTTATTTCTCTTAATCTTTTTAAGTTATTTCACTTCATTTTTGCTGATATTTCTGGTTTCAACAGATTAAGTTGGGAGAACCAGGATGGAAAGAGAGGTATTATGAGGAAAAATTTTATGCTAAATCTCCTGAGGAACTTGAAGCAATACGGAAAGATGTTGTAAGTTAATGAATTGAAGTGGTACTAATTTTGATTCATAGCGGATATCTTGGTTTTCTTATTGTAGTTTGTTGTTCAGGTCTTGAAATACACTGAAGGCCTATGTTGGGTGATGCACTATTACTATGAAGGTGTTTGTTCTTGGAATTGGTGAGTTCTTTTTCTAGTTTTTTTTAGAACTCTACGAATCTGAAATTATGTTGGCTTTCCTTTACTTTTATTATTGAACTTAATGGTGTTTTTCTTTTTCCTCACCTTGATCAAATTTGTGATGCCTAATTTTGGGTATTGAATGCTTAATTTTAACCCTTGTTTGGTCAAAACCAAAATTGTGTAATGCATGTTGCTTGTTGATAACCTTTTCCTGGCTTGTTCTTTCTACTGTTCTGCTCAGTTTCTTTGCTGAACTCCTTAATTAATGTTGTGTGAATTTGGGTACCAATGTCTGAGGTCAAGGTTGTCAAAATTGCTAGTTGAATCTCTATTGACTTTTTTCTTCCCTGACCCAACACCACAGAGTAGGGAAAAAAGAAAAGGAATCAGTTTACTTGTATTTAATAGACCAGTGCTCTCTGCAACAATTCCCTCCCACAATTTTTGACGCCTCCCCTCCCCTTTTAAGTCAATTTAATACCTTTTCACCCTATTCTGTAACCACTGTTAGTTATATAATAATAGGGTCAATACTGTTAGTCAGATAAGCATATTGGATCATAAGTATATCCTTTCTCTTCTCTTGCCTTTTGTCTAATCTTTAGTTGAAGTCTATGCTTGACAAAGACTAAAACATCTAATCTTTTTTTTTTTTTTTGCTCTAAGCAGTTTCTTCTTATTATTGACTTAATCACATATGCTACAATTTTTTTCAGAGCCAGTAGCACTACAAGTGAGACTCAACTCTCATTGCTAGCTTTTGTAACCCTTTAGCCTCTCCACCATAACTTTCCCTCCAAAAAGAGCTGCAGTTTCATAACAAAAGCTAACATAAAAATCAAGACTGTATTTTAGCTTCCATGCTCTTTCTAATAATCTCCTCATCTACCTGCCTCTAAATGTGGCTTCCTGTGATTTGTTAGAATGTTCAGGTTGATTTACAATTTAGCATCTTAGTTTCTTGTAAAATGTCTGACACATTTTTTAGAGATAGTGATGTTTGGTTTTAATTGGAAAATTGTAACTCCGACGAACTACTAAATTACTACAATTGGACAAATTCCTTTTTTGAAAATGTTGGAACAAATGTTGTTTTAGGCCTGTAATACAATACTGCTATCGCATCACCTGTATTGACACTGTTAACCACAGCACAAGCTAATTGCACTGGTTAGAAGACCAATGTTTTCTGTGTGACACTGGTAAGGTTACATAAATTTATCCTTCCAAGACCCCACTAGGCGGGAACCTTGTGCACTGGGTTGCTTTTTAATAGATATAAGGAAAGCACAGCTAGCGCAAAAATAAGAAAACTTATTTACTTGCATGTGAAATTTTCACGTTTTCTTGATTTCAAATTGCATGTCTTATTTTACCAATATATTTTTTTGTTATTGAACAGGTTTTATCCTTATCATTATGCCCCCTTTGCATCTGATCTCAAGGGCCTCAGTGAACTTGATATTAACTTTAAGCTGGGTACTCCATTCAAACCATTTGACCAGCTTCTAGGGGTCTTTCCTGCTGCAAGGTTTTCTTGCTTTCCAGCTTTCTGTTTTGGTAAAGAATTTTAGCTTGCTGAACTTTTGTTAGTGTAACATTGTTATTATCATATATCTACAGCTCTCATGCACTTCCTGAGCCATATAGGAGACTTATGACAGATCCAAACTCACCAATCATTGATTTTTATCCAATTGGTATGTCATTATTGAATTGGACTGTAAATTTAAGCTTTAGAAGTTCCACTGTATGAGTATTGCTCCCTTTATAATATTAATGTTGTGTGTCAGACTTTGAAGTGGACATGAATGGAAAACGCTTTGCTTGGCAGGTTCAATCTTCATTTACCTTTGCCTTTTTCTTTAGTATTTTCTAGACAGGACTGCATTATAGCTCATGATATGATCATTCCTCATTGCAGGGTATTGCGAAGTTGCCTTTTATTGATGAAGCGCGTCTTCTTGCGGAAGTTCACAAAATTGAAAACTTGTTAACAGTATGTCTCTATCCTTCGAGTTTAAATGCATATTGTTTATTTTTCTGTTCCTATCACAAATTGTTTACATATTTTAGCTTATATATTTTGACCTTATCCTGTTTCTTTTAAAAAAATAAAAGCCAGAGGAAAAGAGACGGAATGCAATTATGTTCGACTTGCTCTTTGTGAATTCTTGCCATCCTCTCTCTGCATGCATAAGTACACTTGACAACAAGTGTAAAAACATGCCAAACACTGAACGAGCTGTGGTCAAGGAAAAAATCGATCCCAAAGAAAGGTGGGTACATAATGCTTTGCAATTTTCTAAACAAACTTTTTGGATGATGATAAGATTTAATTTTTAATTGAATTGCCTTCTTATCATAGTAGTGGATTTGTTGCATATGATGAAGCATTATTTATGGCCTTGAGTCTTGGGACTATGATGTGGCTAGCCATAATATCATCTTTGAACTCGCATGGAGCATAATTATTGAATTTAAATTTTTCCTTTATGAAAATAAATTGTGATGCCTTTGTGTTTTTTTTATATTTTTTTTATTTTTTATTTTATCTTTTCATTGATAATGAAATTGGATGTTGAGAAATGAGTAGTTAATGCAGAACTGATAGGTATCTATTTTTCAATTTTAAGTTAAGCTTGGACATACTACCTGCATAACTTTATTACTTTAAAAGACTTGGTAAAACTAATTAATTTGTAAGATAGCTGATCAGAATGTGGGTTTAGGTGCTTGAGCATTTTATCACTAGTTAGCTACATGTTGCTGAAATTCCAATTTAGTTAGTTAATATTCAAGTCCACATACCACATATTGGTTTAGCTGCTTAGAAGTTTGAAGTAGCCATGTTTTACTCAAAGCGGACATCTTAAATGATGTGTCATTTGTGTCAGTGCTAGTCTGGAATTAGTACTATTCTGTTTGGGCACTTAATGTTTAGTTAGGCCACATTATTATGTGAACATGTAACATACTGATAAGTCATCATAACGTGAGTGGCCTTGTTGTAAGTTTTTAAGGAGGATAGTGTTTTTTGAGTAGCGAAGAAACAGTTGTTTGAATAGTTGATAATGTTTTTTTTTTCTCCAAAGCAAGCACAATAGCTGCTTGTTGATGCAATAGAACTTTCCCTGTAGTTTTCAAATGCATGAAATTGTCAAGTTTGGTTACTTTATATTCAAATTTGTAATAACAATTTTTAGATCTTGCTGGACTATTTTCTGATGTTATTTAGGGATACATGCAGTGGTGGAATGAATGGTTACCTATCCTTATGTGCTGGAGAACCTTGCCCTCCTATCTTTAGGTCTCCTGTTGCAAGCATGGAAGACATCATGGACAACCATGTTATGTAAGTTTCTCAATGCTGGGTATAAGAACATGATTAACGGTCATGGATCTGAAAGTTGATGTGGTTTATCTTATTTGCCTGTTCGTATCTTGTAACTCAGATGTGCAATATATAGACTCCCAGATATGCATAAACACATTGCTCGACCACCACCAGGAGTTAAATATCCAAAGAAGGTATTAATTTTTCTAGCTGCTCTTTATTTATACCTTCCAACTCCCGGAGCCCCTTTCTGGCCTTTGTGTCCAATTTGAAAGCTTTTCCATAGTAAGACACTGCTCTGTTTATACTAGGACGCTTCTTTGTGTTTTTTCTATCTTTATATACTGTAAGGTTGATAAAATAATGTGCTTTGTGTACAGACTGTAACAATTGGGGATTTAAAACCTGAACCTGTTTTATGGCATGAAGATTCAGGCAGGAGACATCATGCTGAAAATGGGAGGTGAGGCTTTGTTTTAGTTATATTGAGGCAAAAGAGTTTGGTGGTTAAATTTATGATTTACTGTTGTATTGCATGCAACATCTGGTTGGCTAAAACTGACAGGCTCTGCTGTGGTATTTCAGGAAAAACCCTCCAGGAGCTATCTCTGGTCGGGAGCTTGGAGAGGCAGCACGCAGACTCATTGTCAATTCCTTACAGGCAAAGGTTGACAGTAATGGATACCGACCCCCGCATAATGGACCTCCTGTGTCTTATCCTGCACCAATGGGTCATCGACAACCAGTGCATTCCTATGGTTATGACTCACGCCCAGGATACTTGGCAATGCCACCTGTTTCAGCTCCCTCACTCCAAAGCAGACCACAGTTTGCTCCTTACAATGCTGTGCCTACTGCTCAGCAGTATGGTTATAATCAACCGTACCAGCCACCACCTGTGCCAGCATACAATCCTCGTCAGCAATCAAATTCTTACGAAAGAAATGACTACCAACACCATTATCCAAGAAATCACCACCAGGGTAGTGGGGGTAGGCATGGATATCAATCATCAGGTAATGCCAATGCCAGGTTTACGAATACCCAAGGTGCATATGCTAGTCACCATCATCACAACCAGAACTTCCAACCATCTAGAGGTTCTTATCAGAATTGGACTCCACGAAACAACCCAAGTGGACACAGGGAACAACATGGTCATCATTCGTCCAATCAATATTCTTTATTAGATAGAAGAGGAAACAGGAATCCAATGCCACCACCTGGTTATAGTCGCAAATAAATTCATTTGGTCCAGGGAATATGCTCCCTATGAATTAAAAATTGTTGTACCATATCTTTTTCTTCAATTAGTTGAGGTTTGAGAGTTGTACTTGCATTTTATGCTATTGTTTTTGAGACAGTAATTACCAATTTTCCATTGAATAGATTAGTGTATCAAATTATAGCCCCTAAAACTCAGGTTTGATAACATTTTGTTACTTGATAGGCTATTCAATTGATCGTGTTTTTCCCCCTGGTTAGGTTGTATATTCCAGAGTGATACTTTCATTTTCCAGTCCGTGCACGTGATGCTTGTTGAGCGTGAGAAATGACGGGTAATTATGTATTTAGTGAATTATGTCGCATATTAAGTTGGTTTAACGAATAACCCAGTTAAGCAGTTACTAAGGTCATATGGGCGCAATGGTTTAATCATCTGTTAAATCTATTTTACTACTATTTTCCGATGTGTAATTTTATGACTGATACTTTAAAGACACAAGTAGAAATTCAATTATATACGCACATAATTAGTTACTTTTGCACTTCATAAATCTTGAGTATGTAAGCAGTGTGATATTGAGAATATGGTATTTTTTGGTACAATTTTTCATACTATTTTAATAAATTATTTTCATCTTTTTTAGTCTACTTTTTTTTTTTTCATTTATCGAAAAAATTAACATTTTTTAAGAAATATTATTTAGTCTTAACTCAATTATTTTTCTTATACAGAATGAGTATAATCTATACTCTGTAACATATAAAAGTGATAATATGATGGTCTGACAAATAAAGGTTATCGGAAATCAATTCACTTATCAAAAGGGGGTTCACATCTTTCTCACCATTTTGTGGATGGAGTTTTGTTTTGTGAAGCTTTGGAATTGCAGGCCCATGTGATGACCTCAACTCTTGAAGAGTTTTGTTTGGCATTTGATATGAAGGTGAATCTAGACAAGTCTTTGTCATTTCCAAAGGTGTCCCTAGGTCTTAGGTTGAAGACATTTCACATACTGAGAATTGAGCATTCAACCAGGATAAAGAGTTATCTTGGGGTGCTCATGCTTTAAGGAAAGACTAAAATTGCTAACTTTAATCAAGTGTTGGATAGATTCAACAAGTAGCATCTTGGGAAAACAAACTTTTGAATAAGGCTGGGCGTTTGTATTTAATAAAATCAATTCTCACTTCTATACTAGTTTAGATTTTGCAATCTCTTTAGATTTTGCAAGCTATTTGTGATAAGATTAATCAAACTTGTCATAGGATGTTATAGGCCAAACCAGGAGCTTCTTGTTATTAGTTGTTGGTTGGCTAGAATATGATTTCAAAACCTCTAGAGATGGGAGGACTAGGGGTACGGGAGGCTCAACATATGAATATCTTGCTCCTTGGGAAGTTGATTTGGGATCTTGTTCACTCCTACTACAAATCTTGAGTTAGTTTTGTTCGTGCCAAATATTTGAATGGTGAGTCGGATCTCTGTGCATGTAGTAAGTTAGGCGCCTCACCAGTTTGGAGGACTATAGTTAAGGCCCTTCCATTCATCCATGGGGGGTTTCGTCCAAAGTTTGGGTTCGATCACTCATTGTTGTGATTTGACGACTGGTCTGGAATGGGTAAACTTGGAGCCGAGGTTCTAGTGATCCACATCAGTGACTTTGCTGCTACAGTGGTATAATGTTGGCAAATTGGAACATGGGATTTTGGCTTCCTTCGTACTGCTATCTCGAATGAGTGCTTGGTGTTTTCTCAACAACTTGATATACCTTTGACTAGAGTTAGGGTGGACTCATTCACTTGGACGAGAGACCCTTTGTGATGTTATTTAGTTGCATCAAGATTTATATTTCTTAGTGTAGAGGCACCGGGTTGAACAATCTTGTTTGGAAGAAAGTGTGGCGGCTACACATTTTGAAAAAAGTGAAATTTTCTCTCTCGTTAGGATTGCATACAACCTTACCTACAAACATGTTTCGCCACTTAAGACAACTGGGGGAGATTGACCTTTGTGCACGTTGTTTAGGTGGGCAAGAAACAATCCTTATTCACTTTGAGATTGTCCACATTCCCGTGAAATCTGGTTTCGGTTAGGATATACTCCACCTCATCTATTCACTAGCTCAGAGAGCGTTGTATTGTTCAAAGATATCATTATCCATCATGAGGCTGTTAGGTTGGGCATGACTAGTTGATGGATATGGAGGTATAAAAATAATATGGTTTTTCAAGGTTCATGATGGTTGATGGATTCAGTGCTAAATAAGGTGCATGTTTGCCTTGATGAACTAAATTGGTGGCTTGATTCTTGAAAAACATGGTTGGAAAACAATGTTGGTCCCCATCAAATTATCCAGGGATGAAAGTAAATATTGATGGTAGTTGGTTGGAGGGTCAAAATAGGGTAGGGTTTGGAGAGGTTATTTAAGATAGCGTGGGAAGATGGCTAGGTGGTTTTGCCAATTCAAAGACAGGGGGTGATCCTTAATTTGCAAGCTGAACTTTTGATAATAGAGGAAGGGTTATCTTTTTGCTGAAATTTTGGTTACATATAGGTGGTGTGTGAGTCAGATTGTGGCAAGGACAGTAAGTGTAGCAAAAAACTCAAAAATTGTAAAGAATGTAACGGGACCCACCTTGCATGGCAATCATGATACTTCTCTCAAATTGCAAGAGGTCACTATACCTCCTTCTGTCCCACACTGGGATCCCAGGCATACCACGTTGATCCCAACGAATCAAACTCGACTAAAAAGTAAAAACCACATTACCTGTGCAGGCTTTGGAGGGTCCTCGGCTCCTCTATTATGATGAACCTCAACCACTAGATGGCTCCTTAAACATGGCAGAGCATAACCATCACTCTCTTGGGAATGCCGACAT